AGGGTATCTACTCGGGTTTTTCAAGGTCGGATGTTGTCCGACGTTTTCGTTAATTTAAAGGACTTCATGAGACTGACGTTTGCAAAAATTTATTCAGACCTACCCCATGGCCGAGAAGACTACAACTGTTTAAGTCTAGGTTCGGACGCTTGTATCGTCCGACAATAATAGCGGTAGTCGTCAGTGTGATCGGTTAGTCGCGGCTCTTAATAGAGTCACGACAACACATGGTAGTGGGAATGCTAAAACTAGACCTAGCCTACCTAAAAGAACGACACGCGGCTGCTAAGCCGCGCGATTCAGAGCCTAATTAGGCTAAAAGTAACGACCTCGCCGGCATGGAGCCGCGGTGTGGGAGGAATGGAAGGCCTATATTTTTTTATTTTGGGACGTGGGGTTTGACTCTGTTGGGGGTCCGTAACCGCATCGACGGTTTACGGGTCAGGTGGTCCACCCAGCTAGGTTGGACATTGTCGAGCCTGGCACAAGCGGCCAATTCAATGGCCGACCAAGGTCGACAAATCCAACCAAGCTAAGGGTTGGAGCGGGAAATGTCTGTTGGGCCACAGGCTGGAGGGTCGGCCTACTGGGCGTCACCCTTTAAATAGAGGGGTTGCTGCTTTTGCTCTTGTGATAGGAGCTAGCCCAATAGGTGAACGCATTTGACCGCCACATTGCAGACATAGGGATCGAATATACAATGCGGTCAAACTGGGCTAGCTCCTTTTGCAGTCGGCCATCAGGATAGGGCAGTTTGGGCGCAGTCAATCTTGGTCGTGCGATCAGCAGGATCACACGGCCAGGAACAGCCGTGCCGGATTGAGCATGGCCCCTGCGCAAGGATGACTCACATAAATCAATAAATGACAATTTTTTTCCGACTCCCCAATAGGAATCGAACTCCGAGTCGGGCCTGCAAGGCGTGGGGGGAGGGAACGGTGTCAGGCGGCCGCAAGCAGTGTGCCGCCTGAGATCTGCGGTTTTGGGACTTAGGCTCAGGGACAAGTCTGTGATTTGATGGTACTCTCGTATGACCAGGCAACAAAAATTAGGGGAACTCAGGGCACCCCTGATTCTGGGCGCACTGAGCCTTACGAGTAATCCTCAAAGATGGCGAGATAAGTGGCCACACTCGGCGCATCTAGGGACCGTCATTTCCGGCCGTTTATAGAGCTAGACTCGGATTGGCCTGCTGCGGAGAGGCATCGCGGGTATCGACTTCGCCGCAACGTTTTTGCGGCATACGACCGAGGCCGAAATGAGGGCTCAAATTTTTGTCTATTTTTGTACCTAAACTAAAGATGGGAGAAAAGATTGGGAACAGTAGGAGGGAAGAAAAAAACGTAATATCCCTTAGTTCCCTTATTTTTCGCGGCATTTAGATTTTGGGGAAAATACCTCRTTATTTTATGTTTCCGGCAATGAAGTAGAAAACCAGAGAAAAARATTTAAAATGGTAAGGGAGAGAAGAAAAGAGARAATTTCAACCATTTGATTAAACTCCCTCAAGAATTCATTTTTGGTGGACCTACGACTTATTCACTATTTCAGACAATAMAATTAAGGAAAAGGGAGAGCAATTAAAAATGATGGAACAAACAGGAGCTAATGATTATTCGATGCCTGATCTGGTTTTCCTTGGGATACCCACCGTCATCTCAGAACCCAGATTTGATCAAATTCCCTGAGCTCCAACTTTTTTTTGCTATCCCCCGATGATCGAAACTCTCTATGATGCGTCCCCTATTTACCTGATTACTAACCTTACTAAGCCCGACAGTACAGACGATGGCCACATGGATATGGACAGCGTGGGATCGTGTTACATTGGACCGACGGCATGATGTCAGGTTCGGTACCGGACATGTTTGAGGTTCGGCCTGAGCCGGTATCCGCGTACTTCAGGTTCGGGCACCAGRRTGATTTATTTCCAGGGTCRACATCATCACGGCTATTTATTTCAGGATCAGCATCATCATGGGTATTTGTTTCTTTCAAGTCTGRAGCCACTATGACGATGTATTTCAGGTTCGGAACCTGGACGGCAGGTTATTCCAGTTTCGGCGCTATCACGGGTATTWAGCTYAGGCTCGGCACCGTCACTRCGCCYATTTATTCCACGTTTGGTGYCACTATGGCGCTTTATTTCAGCTTTGGGACCACGRTATTGTGCGGCATTTGACATGTTCTCAGATTCGGTGYTGRCTCGGTATTGGTCCGGCATCGGCATGGTATGGTTGTCTCGTGTTCGGCATTGGTCTAGCATCGYTGAGGTACACGCCGCAGATCTTTTTCGGGTTCGGT